CCGAGGAAGCAGACGTGGAGGAAGAGGTGGAGTTACGGTGCTCCACAGACACTTTACTGTGGGCATGATAAGAAGTCTGTGGCGGTACCGAGTGTAAATGTGGCCCGTCAGCATGAGTGAGGGGCCCGGCATGTTTTTCCTGATTTTGTTTTCCGAGTCCCTCCAGGTGGGCCTGGAAGGTAGAGATCTGTTGTTCCAGAGAGGTGAAATTCTCCTGCACCTTGTCAAACTGAACAAAGAGACATGTTTTTTTATTCCTGGTGCGCTTTTAAACCTTGTTAAAGCTGTTTGTCTCGAGTTTAGCGTACCTGCTCAATATTCGACTGAAGCAAGAGCTCTGGCCAAACTGACTCACTGCTGCTGTTCACGCTGTTGCTCATGTGGGCGTGACTCCAGGTTAACTCCTGTGGAACAGGGCATTAGATTTCTGAGTGAACACAACAATAACAGAAATAACATATTCTTTTTGTCTTTCTTGAGGAGTTTACCTGCAGTAGTTGTGTGCTGCCCTTCAAATGAACCTGACAAGACTGAAGTTTGCTCCTGTAGTCACCCAAGACCGACAACAAATTCTATGGCAAACACACAATATCATGAACAACACTCAAAGGCAGGGGAAACAGCGATGTTAACAACAGCTGTTAAAATAAAAACTTCAAAGTGAAAATAAAAAAGTAAACTATACTACAGTTTGCTAACTGGTTTCCACATGTCTTTACCTGTGTGTCTCTCTGAGCAGAGGCCGGATCTCTGTGGCCTTGGGTCTCCTGTTTGAAGAGTGTCACCCCAGTATGCAGCTCCTCCAGCTGAGCCCAGAGGTCATCTAAGCCCTGCAGCATGTTCTTCACACTGGCCTCAAAGTCCCCCTGCACCCGGACAAGAGTGCGCAGGGACACTCTCCTGTCAGACAGAAAAAGAGTGTCTCATAAATACAACTAAACTATGGCTCCATGGAAGCAGATGGTTGGTACACTAGCAGCTCACCTCTGCTGCAGGTAGGTGTGGAGGAGTTTCAGTTTCTCTGTCACTACAGAGCTTTGGTCCACCTCATCCAGTCCCACCTCTGATCCCACATCAGTCACCTCCAGTGTGTGAGACACTGACTAACATGAAACAGAGAGGATTCACAGGCTGATTCTTAGTATTATGGGTTTGTTTTGTCAAGAACGATAGACAGGGGAGGCAGAAAGGGACAGAACATTAAATTCTTTTCTCATTCCAGTCTACTTAATTCAGAGCAGGACTGGCAGGAGCTCAGTGATGGCATGTGTTGCCTGCGGTTAGAATATCTATGTATTCCTGAGCGGAGGGTCTGATCTATATTACGAACAAAGACTTTACACTGCTCTAAATGCAAAACGCAACTGAAAACACAGGAGATGAAAAGTATGGCTCGAGGCAAGTGTGTGTGTGTAAGAGAGAGAGAGAGAGACATTAGGGTGGGGTGGGGTGCATTTTTTTCCTTAAGTTGGTTTTGTTTTACCTCCAGTCTGGAGAGAAGAGCCTGAATGTGGGGCACATTGGGGTCTGGCAGAGGTTCCTGCAGCACACACAGCAGCAGGCTGTCAGCCAGGGCAAGAATCAGATTAATATTCACACCTGGGTTTCTTGCCTGGCACATCCTGAAGAAAAGAGCAAAAAATGTTACACTATATGCGACACAATTTTGGGGTAATTTATTAGAAAACTGTTGCCAAAAAAAAAACAAAAAACATTCATACCAACTGAAGACGATATAAGTGTGACAATAATAAAGCCTCACCGTAAACACTGGTCATTCCTGATTTCAGTCACAATCTCCTGTTCAGTCCCTGGAGGCTTTCCCTGGAATTGAGAAAAAGTCAGTGAATAAATATCACAAAAATAAAAACACAAACAAGCTCAAAGCAGATTCACTCCACGAAGCTGTGCTCACCTGGCTCTGTCCTGGCTGCAGGCAGCACTTCAGGGCATGGATGCAACCTCCCAGAGAAATCAACAGAAGGCACACAAAAAGTAGCCTCCAGCACACATCCACTCTCAGTACAGAAGGGTGCGGCAGTGCCTCCACTTGGCAGACTGACCAAACTACAAAAACTGGAGTAAAGCCATACCAGGCTCCCAACGTGCCCACAATCTGGGACCACGGTGTGTGCTGGGACTGAGCATCAGCTTGTGTTTGAGCTGAACTGTAGGTAAAGCAAACAAAACCAAGACAGTGTGAGATCAAGGTTACCTAATA